GAGTAGGCAGAGACGACGAAGGGGCAACGACGAGTGTTTCTATCTTTCCGAGTCTACTGGAATCCAGTTTAAGAGAGCTAGTTCTGCCATAGGACTCAATGCTATACCTACACGTACAGCGAGGCCACGGGAAGCAGCACAAGGGCTTTCAGGTAGACGAAGCGTGAATCGAGATGGTTCTTTATTTTGATATGGAGAGGTCAAATGAATGACGCTACTTGGATCTTGTATGCGCGTTTCGGAGACGCAGTACGGATTAATGGCGCGAGATTTTAAAGTCCTAGCTAAGGAAGCCTGTTGTTTTCTATGGCACAATGTTCGGACATTAAAAGCTTCTTCATGTAGTTTAGAGTGTGGTTTCAGAAGATGAGGAGTAACGTTCCGCGTACTCGAATCGTTTGCATTAGCGGCGCGAGGTGATAAAGGGACGTGAGAAGGGTTAGTCGAGGAGATAAGAGAGTTGTTAGGAGGTGTAGGAAGGATTTGATTGTGAATAACTTGGTCTCGTGTGCTGTTATGGGTATGAGAGCTGATGTCACTTCCCTGATGCCCACACCGTGGAAGGACAAAGATATACACAACGCATTATTGACTGAGAAGTGATTAATGTCATGTTTGTCTAGTCCTTTAGCGGCCACGGATTTCTATCGATTGGATAGCATGCGATTAAATGTCTAAATCTGAATAAGCTCAAGCTGAAGTTGCTTAGAAATAAATATTGAAGTAAATCTACTTGTTTCCTACATTTGCGAATGCTTTGCTAGACAAAAGGGAAGAAACCTTTGTCATTGTGTATTGTTATCTCTGGTTTTGAAGTTATTATTCGAGAATTTTAGATAACAACTGAACAAAATATTAAACTCACTTATTTTGTAGTTCAGGTTTAGTAAGAACTACATTGCTAACACCACTATAACACAAACATTATTATGCAGTCTTCTGTAAATAATAAAGATTATAATTTCAGTTTACAGAAATCCATTCAGATAAATTAATCTGGAAATTTTCAGGACAATATTCTTTTTAAAGGTGAGAATATTAACATGCTTGTGTATAATTTTATGTCAGGATGATTTGTATGTTTTTCTAATCTACACTGCCTTGATGAATAGCTTATGTACAACTTTAGAGATTTTCTCATTATACATATATCTATTAATAAAAGCACTTATAAAAATATATCTTGAAAAGAAAGTTTTAAGGTAACATATTATTTGCGATGAGAATTTGTAGAGAGAGCGAGAGTTTGTTTTTGTAATGACGAATAAGTAATAGAGTTGTAAAATATTATATACGGAACTTTTTCATTTGTAATTATAAACGTAAAATTTGATGTAACCACTTGATGTGAAAACATGAACTGTTGTTTAGAAGCTTTTGAAATTAAATTGTACGAAACAGATACTATATAAAGAGAGTAGAAAAAACATTATTACTTATCTTTACTTAAAACATGAAAGTTTACGTTATAGTAGTAGTATTATTTTATTGCTTACAGATTTATTCTGGTAAGTTTTAATATATTTTGATAATAAGTATTGAAAACGTAATATTTGTCTGCTAATATCACATTATAAAAACTTGACGTTATGGTGGCCTGCTTGAACATCTGGGCTACCTGTCCCTGTCGTCCAGATATTTCAACAAGTTATCTGGTTTTCTTGATTTAATACATCATTATGGCTATTAATTGCATAACCTATTCAGTTGCGTTTCTGAATAATGTACAACTTTTCGTTGTACAAGTTACAAACGGTTCAATCAGAGATATTGTGGTTGCTGGCAATATGCAGGAAAAAGAATGTACATTATTAAGATGTTGATTGTCTGAACCGCTAGCTTTTACTTGGTGACCATACAATATATCTTGTCAGGATTGATCAAGAAATAAGAAAGGGAAACTTGCTGAAATACTTTGAGCTGAAAATTCTATATTGTACCAAAAATAGAATATTGAATAAAACCATTATTAATAATAATAATTTTAAATAAGAAAGATTAGTTCAGCGAAGAGTCCTCTTTTCAGTGAAGTCATTTTCAAAGCTGTACAATCGCAAATATATTTACTTATTTTACAAAATGATAATAATCACAATAATACTGATAATAAACTTCTGTTAGACATGGTGACAGTAAGGTTAAATAAACATAGGTTTTAAAAAAAAGTTTTTTAGAAACAGGTAAAGTTCAATAATCGTTTGATTTTTAATGGCTTAAGTATTCATCAAAAGATAGATAGGGAAATTATCATTGGGAAAAGATGGCTCAGCATGATAAAATAAAGTGTTGAAATGGAGATGGAATGTAATCGGAAAGATCGTGGTATGTTTTTAAATACCTTTGTTTATTTAACCTCACTGTCACCATGTATAACAAGTTTATTATCAGTATTATTATCATCCTGTAAAAATAAGTATATGTATTTGCGATTGTACAGCTTTGAAAATGAATTCGCCGAAAAGAGAACTCTTCGTTGAACTAAATTTTCTTATTTAATGTCTTAATGGGTGTATTCCGTTTATTAATAATTTTAGCGACAATATGAACGGTGAAATGTGACTTCGATTATTGTTAAAGGTTTCGAAAGAAATATAAGGTTGATGGCGTATTTCTACATACAATAAAAATTTGGAAAGTAATCTGAATTAAGATGTAAAGATACGATCAAATAAAAGAAAAATATTGACTGAAATTTATTGAGTGGTAAATGTAATATAGAACATATACTCTGATAGAATTTGAAACAGAGTTAATTTGTAATATACACTTACAATACAAGTAATAACTGAAGACTTATAAATAAGGTTCAGTTAAAGTACAATATAAAATATTACGAAAAGGATAGGGAAAATCATATACTCAAAATTAAAAAAAACACATGATAATCGAAATATTCACGTAAATTCATCTTAGTGTATTTAAATATCAATTAAAAAAGCTACTGGGAATATTTTGTCTGCGTTAGTTTTCAAACAATACAATTTGCCGCCATTTTTATGTGGTTAGTGTCAGATACAACACGAAATAAGATACATTGAATTAGTGCTTACTTTGGGCTCTTGTTTGTAAAGTGTTAAGTGTGAAATAATTGTGTAACTTGTAAAAATGTTTGTCCGTAATACAGTGTATTTAAACATCTAGTAATTCATTGTTGATTTCATCAAGATACTTTCATTGGAAAGCTTTGAAAATGAATACTCAGTGCTACACTGTGGAAATATTGACGTACATTTATCTTAGTGTATTTAAATATCAATTTTATTCATTATAAATTGATTGATTTCACATTGATAAGATGGAAAGAAAAGTCGAAATTCGATTGGTTTAATAGTTATGAGCTTCGTTCAACATTACTTCCTTTCTGATTCAATGTGATGATTATTCAGTATAGTATTCGATTTTGTTTTCTCGTATGATATTTTATTCTGTATAATATATGATATTCTTGTATTCAATTGACATGAACCATGCTCAATATGCGATTTGTTATAACTGAGTATTTTTCATATATGTGACTTCATCCTAATTATTAATCATCAAAGTGTGTGTACAATCAATATGTAAGTGAGTGTATTTTCGACTAGGGTTGTCGTCGACACTGTTTGGAATAACATTCCTTTCACTAGTCTTCTGTCTTCTCATTGCGACTCGGAAGGGTTCTAGCGTTCTAGTGCTCAAGTTATACGTGGTATATCAAGAATATAAGCATCTAGATACAACATACACCAATATAATAAACTCATTTTATACGATTCAATGAATTGTACAGTTATGTGGAATTAATTCTCATACTGTTTAGCTGCCGCTGAGTCAACTATCGTTGATAAAAATAAGTCCAAAATTAGCTTGTTATGTAAAAAACTGTCGTTTGAAATTAAATATTTACTCATTTCGTATCATTTAATGAATGATTCAGTTACGCAGAATTGTTTCGTATCATATTTAGGTACTACGGGGTCATCTAACAGTGATGGAAGTAAGTCAGAATATATTCGATATATTACAGGTGTTCTGTATATTACACAATTAAAAAAGCTACTTGGAATATTTTATCTGCGTTAGTTTTCAAACAATACAATTTGCCGCCATTTTTATGTGGTTAGTGTCAGATACAACACGAAATAAGATACATTGAATTAGTGCTTACTTTGGGCTCTTGTTTGTAAAGTGTTAAGTGTGAAATAATTGTGTAACTTGTAAAAATGTTTGTCCGTAATACAGTGTATTTAAACATCTAGTAATTCATTGTTGATTTCATCAAGATACTTTCATTGGAAAGCTTTGAAAATGAATACTCAGTGCTACACTGTGGAAATATTGACGTACATTTATCTTAGTGTATTTAAATATCAATTTTATTCATTATAAATTGATTGATTTCACATTGATAAGATGGAAAGAAAAGTCGAAATTCGATTGGTTTAATAGTTATGAGCTTCGTTCAACATTACTTCCTTTCTGATTCAATGTGATGATTATTCAGTATAGTATTCGATTTTGTTTTCTCGTATGATATTTTATTCTGTATAATATATGATATTCTTGTATTCAATTGACATGAACCATGCTCAATATGCGATTTGTTATAACTGAGTATTTTTCATATATGTGACTTCATCCTAATTATTAATCATCAAAGTGTGTGTACAATCAATATGTAAGTGAGTGTATTTTCGACTAGGGTTGTCGTCGACACTGTTTGGAATAACATTCCTTTCACTAGTCTTCTGTCTTCTCATTGCGACTCGGAAGGGTTCTAGCGTTCTAGTGCTCAAGTTATACGTGGTATATCGAGAATATAAGCATCTAGATACAACATACACCAATATAATAAACTCATTTTATACGATTCAATGAATTGTACAGTTATGTGGAATTAATTCTCATACTGTTTAGCTGCCGCTGAGTCAACTATCGTTGATAAAAATAAGTCCAAAATTAGCTTGTTATGTAAAAAACTGTCGTTTGAAATTAAATATTTACTCATTTCGTATCATTTAATGAATGATTCAGTTACACAGAATTGTTTCGTATCATATTTAGGTACTACGGGGTCATCTAACAGTGATGGAAGTAAGTCAGAATATATTCGATATATTACAGGTGTTCTGTATATTACACAATTAAAAAAGCTACTTGGAATATTTTATCTGCGTTAGTTTTCAAACAATACAATTTGCCGCCATTTTTATGTGGTTAGTGTCAGATACAACACGAAATAAGATACATTGAATTAGTGCTTACTTTGGGCTCTTGTTTGTAAAGTGTTAAGTGTGAAATAATTGTGTAACTTGTAAAAATGTTTGTCCGTAATACAGTGTATTTAAACATCTAGTAATTCATTGTTGATTTCATCAAGATACTTTCATTGGAAAGCTTTGAAAATGAATACTCAGTGCTACACTGTGGAAATATTGACGTACATTTATCTTAGTGTATTTAAATATCAATTTTATTCATTATAAATTGATTGATTTCACATTGATAAGATGGAAAGAAAAGTCGAAATTCGATTGGTTTAATAGTTATGAGCTTCGTTCAACATTACTTCCTTTCTGATTCAATGTGATGATTATTCAGTATAGTATTCGATTTTGTTTTCTCGTATGATATTTTATTCTGTATAATATATGATATTCTTGTATTCAATTGACATGAACCATGCTCAATATGCGATTTGTTATAACTGAGTATTTTTCATATATGTGACTTCATCCTAATTATTAATCATCAAAGTGTGTGTACAATCAATATGTAAGTGAGTGTATTTTCGACTAGGGTTGTCGTCGACACTGTTTGGAATAACATTCCTTTCACTAGTCTTCTGTCTTCTCATTGCGACTCGGAAGGGTTCTAGCGTTCTAGTGCTCAAGTTATACGTGGTATATCAGAATATAAGCATCTAGATACAACATACACCAATATAATAAACTCATTTTATACGATTCAATGAATTGTACAGTTATGTGGAATTAATTCTCATACTGTTTAGCTGCCGCTGAGTCAACTATCGTTGATAAAAATAAGTCCAAAATTAGCTTGTTATGTAAAAAACTGTCGTTTGAAATTAAATATTTACTCATTTCGTATCATTTAATGAATGATTCAGTTACACAGAATTGTTTCGTATCATATTTAGGTACTACGGGGTCATCTAACAGTGATGGAAGTAAGTCAGAATATATTCGATATATTACAGGTGTTCTGTATATTACACAATTAAAAAAGCTACTTGGAATATTTTATCTGCGTTAGTTTTCAAACAATACAATTTGCCGCCATTTTTATGTGGTTAGTGTCAGATACAACACGAAATAAGATACATTGAATTAGTGCTTACTTTGGGCTCTTGTTTGTAAAGTGTTAAGTGTGAAATAATTCTTGAACTTGGTAAATTATTGCTTCAATATTCTTCAATTGTAATGCGTCGAAGATTATTACTGTGTGTCACGCTGTGAAAATATTGATGTTCACTTATCTTATTTTCCTTAATTATCAAGTAGGAAGTGTTTATTAATGTTCATTAATTATGAATATTCACCCGACTGTGTTTATTTGTGGACGTTGTGGAAACTTCTTCGATACTACGGAATTCCAGAGGAGATTGTCAACATTATCCGGAACTCATACGATGGACTACAATGGAAAGTCCTGCATGGAGGACAGCTGACAGATGCTCTCCATGTAAGAATCGGAGTAAGACAAGGCTGTTTGCTCTCGCTCTTCCTTTTTCTTCTGATGGTCGACTGGATTGTGAGGATCTCGACATGTGAATGAAAACACGGAATACAATGGACAGCTCAAAATCAATTAGACGACTTGGACTTCGCGGATGACCTAGCCCTGCTCTCGCATACACACGAACAAATGCAGACAAAGAGAGCCAGTGTAGCAGCAGTCTATGCATCATTAGGCTTCAACATACACAAGAGGGAAACCAAGGTCCTCAAATTCAAAGCGGAGAACAGCAATCCAATCACTCTTGATGGCGAAACTCTGGAAGATGTAGATTCCTTCACATACCTGGGAAACATCATCGGTGAACAAGGAGGATCTGATGCAGACGTAAAGTCGAGGATTGGCAAAGCAAGAATTGCATTCCTACAGTTGAAAAACATATGGAACTCAAAACAACTTGCAACCAATATCAAAGTGAGAATCTTCAATACGAACGTCAAGTCATTTCTACTGTACGGGGCTGAAACTTGGAGAACTACAACAACCACCATCAAGAATGTACAAGTATTTATAAATAGCTTTCTACGCAAGATACTCAACATCCATTGGCCGGATACCATCAGCAACAGCTTTTTATGGGAGAGAACAAACCAACTTCCAGCTGAAGAAGAAATTAGGAAAAGACGATGGAAATGGATAGGACATACATCACGCAAATCATCAAATGGCACCACGAAACAAGCTATAACTTGGAATCGTGAAGGGAAGCAGAAAAAAGGAAGATCAAAGAACACATTACGTCAGAAAATAAAAGCAGATATGAAAAGGATGAATAGAAACTGGAAGGAGCTGGAAAGGATTGCCCAGGACAGGGTTGGATGGAGAATGCTGGTGAGCGGCCTATGTTCCTTCACTAGGAGTAACAGGCGTAAGTAAGTAAGTGGTTATGAATACTGAATAACTAAGTAGATATTGCGATATCGTTTGAATCGAACGGTACTTGGTTGGAATCTCTGAATATGTATGATGTTTTAAATGCTCGTACTTCCAGATGACGAGTCCCCAATATTACGAAGTGCGTGTCCTGGTTTCTACTACTAGCTATTATACATCTTTACTTATATATCAGGTTTATTTATTATTAGATGACTAGTTTTACACTAATATATTAAACTCATTTTATATTATTCAATGAATTATACTGTTATATAAAATTACTTCTCATTATGTTTAGCTATCACTGATGAACCTTACTATATGCGGAGTAAGTCAAAATAAATTAAAAGTAGGATTTATATTTTATACAATACACAAACAATTGTACTTTATCCATTAAAATTAAATGTTTACCTATTTCTTTATAATTTGACGAATAAGTTCGTTATATAGAACTATTTCATATAATATTTAGCTACTACTGAATCACCTATAATTGATAGAAGTAAGTTAGAATATATTCATAATATATCAATATGTTTTATACGTCAAGAAAATGATACTGATTGTCAACCAATTTTTAATTGATCTATGAAGTACAAGTTTTTGAATATTGATAAATTCTTCTTTAAATAACAAATAGATTGAGTATTTACTTTTAATTTAGTTAAGAAAGAGTCAGATCTAAAGTATTTAATAATAAATCTGATTGTTCTTTTGAAAATTTTAAACTTTAATAAAGATTCAATCAAAGATGGATGGTGACTAGTAATGGAATCCAGGACGTGCATTTCGTTTTATCTGGGACTCGACAACTGGATGTATCTGCAACTCAGAGTAGATGTTCACTCTGGGACTCGAACCCAGTACCGTTCACGTCAAACGCCATCGCGTTATCCTCTTAGCTACTGAGTCCTGATAGCCGGCTGCTTGTGCAATGAGGTGAAACGCGCATTCTGGTTTCCACTGCTAGCTTCTAGCTACCAACTATCTTTGTTTATAAAGCTTGTGAATTAAGGCTATATCGAGGCAATCATCACAGGATGCACATACGCCAACAAGAGACTGATCAACTGCAGTGCTAAATAACGATGGGAAGATACAAGTAAAACAGCACCAAGTGAATTTAATAACGTTTTGTTTCTAGGTTTTTTCGTAACGATCTTTTCTTGTATTTTACTTTGTGATTTCATGTAATACTTTGGTATTTATTTTTTGTTTTTGGATGTAAATGGAGAGTTCTTAACCATCAATGTTCTTACAAAGTTGAATAGGCTTTTGATTTGAATCACTTGCTGATGTTCACAATCTATGTATATATTGCTTTTACAGATCTCAAGTACTCTAATTTAGCATTATGAATTTTAAAAATACGGTATTTATCATTAATGCTGCACATATACTGTTGTATGAGCTACTTATATTCACATAAGTAGCATATAACGATAGTATAGAAGAGAATGTATTTCAGTAGAAGATTGGGAAGGAACGAATGGGAACGGAAAGCAATTGGTATGAAAATACAGAAACAAAGAAATCCGAGACGATTGACTGGTATTTGCAAAAGGAACATCCAAGTTTGAAATAATCGATTGATATTTTGCAAATTAAGTATTTACTGTATGATTTAAACGTATAAACATGGTACTATATTTTTATACCTCAACTTGAGATGTATTGTATTATTTTATAGAAAGAATTGAATCACGAATAACAGAATATAGAGAAGCATGCTATAATGTTTTGGCCAGTATCTGTACGTTATTACTTTTAATAGTTATTAGATCTAAAAACGTTTCTAGTAATTATGTTAATTTGTTGATGCTTTACATTATATTGAATTTTATTGATAGTAAAATGAAATAATATTTATTATATTATTGCTTGTTTGTATGGAGCTTTCAGATGATCTAATATATATTCACTTTCAAAGATTAAGATTTTCAGTGAACAAAATACTAATCTTGTTATCCTATTGTGAATTCTGTCACAAGAAATAGAATAAAATGATTCATACATGTAAATTGTAGCATCTGAGAAGAAGAGTGGTTGGAAACCAAGAAAAAAACTAATGAAATACGATGTACTTTCATATTATTTCAATAGTTTGAACAGTTATTAGTTGTATCTGTACAAATTAATTTAGAGAATAAAAGTTTTGAAATGTTTGATTTCATAATTTAGAGATCAGGAGTTTTGTATTTTTACATAACGTATTCATATGTTGTAGCTAGTACTTTGATAATTTTCCCTTCACTTAATGGACAGACACTACATATTGAAGTATAGTTGTTAGAAAAAGATTTCAGTTTAAAACATAACGTTTACTTATGTTTTTCATCTGGTATGTTAAGCTATTTCATAGTGAACAAGTCTGTAGCAGACAGTTGCACATAACTATTCATTATCCGAATGAATCATGGTTTATATTGTTTCAGTACTCAATGTACTGACTGACGTTGAGAGCTATAATATAATAAATACGTTTTCTTGTGATATCCTAATGAATAAAAAAAGACTGTATATCTGATATTTTGTTACTTACATTAATTCATAACACCTTAGAAATACAGTTTTCTATTCGTTGGGACATTACGGAGAAAAATATTTATTGCTAGTTTGAAAGTTAACTTTAATATAATAAGGTAATAAACATTTGTTTTTGAATTTTTATTTTAAAGTTAGTGCACTTCAAAGGTCTTCGCTTTCTAAACGGATTTCTCTGTATGATGTAGAAAAAGGTAAGAATTATAATCAATATATCTACTTCTATTGAAGTATTATCTCAGGAATTAGCTTAATACGATTTACTATATTATTTATAAACAAAACGGTTGTTAAGTATAGAGATTCTGATTAAAGGTATTATTATTGGCAAAATATATGTTCATCAACAGTTCACTGATTATAATCAGAGAAGGGTTTTTGTGGATATTATGGTAATTTCAATAGTTGAGATCATGAGTCAATTGAAGTTAGACCACCTTGGAAAACCTGGAAGCATTGGACGACCGTTTCGTCCTGGGTTCGGACCCAGAACCTATTAGTTCACTAATTAACAAACGGTTTTCTTCATATGATAGCCATTTGAAATGAGAATGACTTTTAGACAAGATTTACGATTTCAGTATTTTGCATTTCTAAAAAAATATTCATACCGATTTTAAGTAATGGATAACAATGTTGAAAATGATATTAAATACAATCATTTATTATGATTGTCCTGTGTAAGACTAAGATATGTCTGATTACGACACAATTATCAGTTTCCTCTCTTCATTGATGACATAATACAATTGATAGTAATTATAAATAGATTAGAAAATATACTTAAACTACTTTTGTGTACGCTTTTGTTACTGAATTTAATTTTTATTCTACAATCTAAGTGTTATATTCCGTTTGATTTTGTCTTTCAGAACGCTTGATGCTTGAAAATCTGTACTATTTGAAGTGGGCTAATACACTTCTATGCAAGTGGATATAGTCTCTGCATTTAGAATTTGAAATAAGTACATGTCACTAACGGTTTTTTGACTGGTTGAAGAAAGACTCATGCTATATCATGGTTTCAACTATTAGATGCTTAGTGATTTAGTTTGAAAATTATAAGATATCTAACAGGTAATAAAACAAGACGCTGTTTCAATCAAGCATGAAAGATAGCGAGTTAGAAATGAATATACGATTTTTAGATGGTGGAAAATATTTGTACCTCAGGTGGGATTTTGTTCTCTGAGCTTAATGGCTTAGTCGTGGAGTTTACATTGTTCTTCGGAACAACATCATCAGCACAAATTTCAAGTAGAAGTAAAGAATTCGAATTTCTCTAGATATGACTTACAGCTTGTCCTATCGACCTCGATCTTGATTGGTTATTGTTGACCTTTAACTTTTCATTGTTTACTTCTCGCATTGATTTGATTCTTGGTTCAACTGGAAAAGTGTTGAGATCTTGGATAGGGGCAACACTAAAAGCACCGGGAAGTTTTTCGAAGCATGGCACTTAGGACATTCAGCAATCAGCAAACAATAAAATGACCCAATCTATCAACCAATCAGAAAAATCATGGATAAATATAGGCTCGAGAATCAAATCAATGGGAAACACAATCAAAATGAAGAAGTAGACGATGGAAAGTTAAAGGTCAACAATAACCAATCAAGATCGAGGTCGATAGGACAAGCTGTAAGTCATATCTAGAGAAATTCGAATTCTTTACTTCTACTTGAAATTTGTGCTGATGATGTTGTTCCGAAGAACAATGTAAACTCCACGACTAAGCCATTAAGCTCAGAGAACAAAACTCCACCAAAGTACGATTCTCAGTTGCTATAGTAATGTAAAGTTCCTTTTTTGAACCAAACGTGATACAAATTAAAACCTCTCTTTTGCAACTAGACCTACGTCTTTAACTTAGTACCAAACAAATAATTTTTGCTGTAAACCTCCAATGTCGTATTAACATAATCGATATATGAGACACCAATTTTAGCTTTTTTATAAGATTACTTGACATTTAGTTAATTATTTGGAACATGGAAATCAACTACTTAAGTCGATAAGCAGCCCGTCTTGTAGAGGACGAACACAACCTTATGTACAATACTGCAAGTATTTTTATCCCCTTTATTTGAGTTATACATCATACAGTTTAATACGTAGTTCATGTGATGCTGAAAATTACATAAAATAACTCAGATCCATATTGATTCTTACTGGCTAATTATTTCACACGGTGATACATCCTTGCTTGTCAATCAATAAATTGAACTATATAGGATACCGATCGATTTAGTTTTTGATAATATTTACTTTCAGTTTATTTGTATTTGTAGCGAAAAGTTCGGAAGACGAAGTTGTTAAAAAATATTACGAATGTATGTTACTTTATAATATTTTACGTAATATCAAATAATATGAAGTTGGTAACTAATTTTAATCTGTTTACTATTTCAATATATCTGAAATCACTCTTTGGCTGGTAATGTTGTCCATTTTCGTTGAGAAACCAAATAGACATTTTATACATTTTCTAAACAGATTTCAAATCAATTAAAAATATTCACAAACATTATTGAACATATTTACAAAATGCATCCTTTTACAATTGTTTATTATTATGTCATTATCAAAAAATGTTTTGATGGTGTAATGTCAGATTGAATTGTTTAAACAGTAGGAAGGATTTGTATAGTCGCCTGCACAACAGTTGGTGTATCAGATATCCTAACGAATTGGATTATGAAATAATACCGATATTTATTTCTGATTACTAAGATGAAATCATTTGAATGATCTCACTATGTGACTAGAGTAAATGCATAAAAATCTGTTTTCATCTAGAAAGGTTTTGTCTGTAACTTGAATCAGTCGAGTTTGTCATTTAATGCTCATCAGCTACTCACTTTTAAGTAAGTGTGATAAATATATATGTAAACTAAAAGAAGTTCAAATGTAAACGGCTAGTTAATATGATCTTACCGGTTAACAGCAATGTGTTTTGTTTGCTGTACTTCAAATAGCATGCTTTCAGTCACATGTTTGAACAAGCGTATCTAAGCTACACCTTTGTGTTCATTGAAAC